ATTGATGGCTTGACTACTGTTCGAGAGAAAGATCAAAAGGAACCATGGAAAAAGTGTTGCAGTCGCAAGGGACTCTATTGTGTAGGGATTATCTTCGGAGAACCACACCTCGTGTGGAATTCTTGAGGTGCCCAAGAAAGGTATGCTCGGGAAGCTCGTCATGATCCCATGAGTGTAATGAGCAAGACGCTGCGACCCACTAAGGTTTGCAAGGAGGAGGAGATCATCATCTCTGAGAAAGATAGAGTGCAATTGCATCATCCCCATAAGGATGCCCTCGTCATCGCACCTGAAATAGGCCAATGCAAAGTCCACAGGATGTTGGTGGATAATGCAAGCGTCGTGAATATCCTGTTTCAGCAAGCTTTCGAGAAAATACAACTAGACAAGGCAAACCTGAAGCCTGCCTCCATCCCACTTTATGGTTTTACTGGGGATCATCTAATTCCTAGGGGAACGATCTCACTCCCGATCACATTGGGAGAAATCGACGAAGTGACCAAAATAATGAAATTTCTAGTGGTAGAATGTCCGTTCGCCTTCAATGGAATTTTGGGATGACCTCTACTAAGAAATTTCAAGGCAATCACCTCCATTTACAATCTAAAAATAAAGTTTTCCACCCCGATGGGGATAGGGAAGTAAACGGATCTCAATGCGAATCTTGCGACTACTACGTAAGAGCAGTGCAAGGGAAACAGAAGGCTAGTTGGCGTCCCTAAACAAGCAATGGCAATCAACAGGATTGAGCCACAGCCCAGCCCGATAGAGGATAACATGGATCCTAGCATCCAAGAGTGCCCTCACAGTGGGCTAGTTGATGACTTATCTGAGGTATCAATCGATCAAAATGAGTTAACCCGAGTGTTGAGAATTGAGAGTAATCTCAACCCTCAGCTCGCCAAAGACTTGACAAGCTTCCTCAGAGAGAATGTCGACGTCTTCACATTGACTCCTGCTGACATGATCGGGATCAACCCAAATGTCATATGTCATGCACTAAGTATTGACAGTGCGGTCAAGCTGGTTCACCAGAAGAGAAGAGCAATGGACCCTAAGCGTTATGCTGCCTTGAAAATCAAGGTAGATAAGCTCTTTTTTAATAGATTCATTCGAGAAACGCTTCACCCGAGCTGGGTTGCAAATCCGATCTTGGTAAAGAAGCCTAATAATGGCAAATGGTGAACCTGTGTTGACTTCACTGACCTCAACAAAGCTTGTCTGAATGACAGTTTTCCCTTGCCAAGAATCGACCAGCTCATCTATGCCACCTCTGGATACGAGCTGCTGAGTTTTATGGATGTCTACTCGGGATATAATCAGATTTTGATGTACGCGTCGGACGAAGAGCATACCTCGTTCGTTACAGATTAGGGGCTGTATTGTTACAAGGTCATGCCTTTCGGCTTAAAAAACGCTAGGGCAACTTATCAACGGTTGGTTAATTGTATGTTTTCCGAGCAGATCGAAAAATCGATGGAAATCTATGTTGATGACATGCTAGTCAAGTCGCATGTTGCTTCATATTATATAGCACATCTCACTGAGATGTTCAGCGTACTCCGAACGTATAGAATGAAGCTCAATCCTCTCAAATGTTCATTCGAAGTATTCTCGAGAAAGTTTCCTGGGTATATGGTTAACCAAAAGGGAATAAAAATCAACCTCGAGAAGATCGAAGCTTCTTTGATATGAAAAGTCCGACCAACCAAAAATAGGTTTAGAGTCTAAATAGGAGAATAGCGACTCTCAATTGTTTCATATCAAGGGCAACAGATCGCTGCTTGCCATTTTTTAATATACTCAGGGCCAACAAAAGGTTCGAATGGACTCCGGAGTGCGAGCAGACTTTTCAGAACATAAAAGAGCACCTCGGAAAGCCACATGTCTTGTCCAAGCCTCTCCACGAGGAAATTCTACTTCTGTACCTGTCCGTCTCTCAACATGCAATCAGTGTAGCTCTCATTCAGGAGGAAAGTAGAGTTCAATGGCCAGTATATTACACGAGCAAGCAACCGTTGGACGCCGATATATATTATCCAGAAATGGAGCGATTAGCTTATGCCCCACTGATCGCCTCCAGAAAAGCTGCGACCCTACTTCCCTGCCCACACAATCCATGTTTTGACCAATTACCCGCTCAGGCAGATTCTTCAGAAGCCAAAGGTGTCGAGTAAGTTACTCAAATGGGCAATGAAACTAAGTCAGTTCGACCTGCATTACAAACCAAAACCAACCATCAAAGGGCAGGTTATTGCCGATTTCATTTCGGAATCATAAATAGGGGTGTATATGAGCCAAGCCGAATTGAGTATTTGGACACTTGAGCTCAGTTTGTGATGAATAGTGTCGAGTTCGAGCCGAGCTCGAATATTTGGGCTCGAGCTCGAGCTCGCGAGAATGGGTAGGTACTTGAGCTTTCGAGTTTGTTGTGAGAAGGGGGCTGTTTGTCATTTTAAAAACTTGAAAATTAAAAAAAGTTACAAAACTTGCAATTTGCCCTTCCGAGTGCGATGAGGCTTGCAAGCCTATCAAGCCGAGCTTCGCCCTGATCGAAGTCGCCTCAACCCCTTAAACGAGCCACTCAAGCTCGAGCTCGACTCGATTGACATTGAGTCGAGCTCGAGCTTTTCATTAGCCAAGCTCGAGTAGCTCGCGAACTGCTCGACTCATTTCTCATCCCTAATCATAAGGGGTACTAACTGGTAAGACATCGAAATGTCCAAACATCTTAAGAAGTTTCTCAACATAATGTCCTTGTGATAGCATTATACTATCACCCTTCCTTATGATTTTAACACCCAAAATCACACTTGCTTCACCCATGTCCTTCATATCAAATTTTGAGGCAAGAAAACATTTTGTTTAGTGCACTATATCATGACAAGTACCAAAAATGAGCATGTCATCCACATATAAACAAATAATTACGCACTCATCATTTACAAGTTTTGTATACACACATTTATCAACTTCAGCAGAAGAAAAGCCATCACAGATCAAAACTTGATCAAATTTCTCATGCCACTGTTTTGGTGCTTGTTTTAAACCATATAAGGATTTAAAAAGTTTGCAAACTTTATTTTCTTCTCCAGAAGCAACACAACCCTCAGGTTGCACCATATAAATCTCTTCTTCCAAATCACCATTCAAAAAAGCTATTTTAACATCCATTTGGCAATTAAAAAGTTTATGGATTGAAGCTACAACAATTAAAACTCTAATGGAAGAAATTCTAGTCACAGGAGCATAGGTATCAAAATAGTCAACATTTTGTTTTTGAGTAAAACCTTTTGCAACCAATCTTGCTTTATATTTTTCAATTGATCCATCAGGGTTGTATTTCTTTTTAAAAATCTATTTGCAACCAATAGGTTTAGCTCCTGCAGGTAAATGTACCAAAACCCAAGTATTATTATGTGTAATGGAATCCATTTCAGTTTCAATAGCTTTTTTCCAAAATAGAGCATTAGAGGAAGTAATGGCATCATAATAAGTTAATGGATCATTTTCAACAAAATATGAATAAAAATCATTTCCAAATGAAGTTTCTTTTCTTTGTCTTTTGCTTTTTCTCAAATCTTTAGAAAGGTTTTCAATAACATTTTGTACAGGTGCATGAGAAATGTTCTTAGATTTTAAAGGAAAAACATGTTCAAAGAATTCAGCATTCTTTATCTCGATTATAGTATTGCAATCAAGAAATCTATAAGCAGCACTATGCTTAGCATAACCAATAAACATGCAATTAGATATCTTAGAACCTATTTTCCTTTTCTTAGGGACAGGAAGCCTTACCTTAGCAAGACACCCTCACACATTCAAATATTTTAGATTTGGTGTATATCCCTTCCATAACTCATATGGTGTCTTACCAATTTTCTTATAAGGAATTCTATTTTGTAAATGACATGCAGATAATAAAGCCTAACCCCAAAGATTATTAGGTGCAGAAGAACTAACAAGCAAAGCATTCATCATTTCTTTCAAGGTCCTATTTTTCCTTTCTGCTATTGCATTAAATTCAGGTGAATAAGGGGGAGTAATTTCATGTATTATTGCTTCCTTTTCACAAAATCCATTAAACAAGACATATTCACCTCCTCTATCTGATCTTACCCTTTTAATCTTTCTATCTAATTGATTTTCTACTTCAGCTTTATATAAAAGAAACATGTCAAAAGCCTTATCTTTATTTCTAAGCAAATATACCTTAGTGAACCTAGAAAAATCATCAATAAAAGTCACATAATACTTTTTACCACCTCTAGTCATCGTTTGTTTCAAATCTCCTAGGTCAGTATGGATTAAATTAAGCAATGCAGTTTCTCTTTGTATAGAGAGGCAAGATTTCTTAGCTAATTTAGATTCAACACATACCTCACATTTATTCAAGCATGTATTACTAATACCAGAAATTAAACCAAGATGTTGCATTTTGTTAATATAAGAAATACTAACATGTCCTAATCTAGCATGCCACATATCAATAGAATCAATCAAGTAAGCAGAAGAAGATGCATTTCCATTCTTAATTTTAGAAACATTGAGTACAAAAAGTCCCTAGTTACAATAACCTTTGCCCACAAAAACATTATTCTTTGTCATTACAATTTTATCATATTCGAATGACACTTTAACCCCAACCTTTCCTGATAGAGCCACATAAATTAAATTTGCTCTAATATTAGGCATGTGAAGCACCTCATTGAGGGCCAAAGTCTTGCCGGATGTGAGATTGAGAAGAATTTTACCTTTGCCAAGAACATTAGCAATTCGAGAATCTCCAAGATATACATGTTCTTCTCCATCCCTTGTAGGAGTGTAGGAGGTAAAAACATCTTTGTTTGCACAAATATGCCTAGTAGCACCAGAGTCCACCACCCATTCTTTCGCATTGGCCACAACATAAGGCTGAGAAATGACCACCGCAATTATAGCATCATCTCTTTTAACCAAATTTGCCTTTGGCTTAGGAGGATTGTCATTTCTCATTCTCTTTATGCATTGAGGTGCATGATGACCTGGCTTTCCACAAACAAAACAATTTCCCTTCTTATTGAGATGGAGTTAGTAGTTTTAGGCTTGTAATCAGGTTTTTTGTTATTATACCTCTTATTTTGCTTGTGAAATTTATCTTGCACCAAGTGTACTTTTGAAGCCATCTCCTTTGATTCTGCAACTTTGAGTTCCTTTCTATTGGTGTCCTCAATTATGACGTGGGTGGTCAAATTTGCAAGTGACAATTGCTTGTGCTTATGTTTGAGTTGTTGCTTGTAATCCTTCCAAGATCTTGGCAGCTTTTCAATCAACAATCCTGCAATAAACTCATCTTGCAAATTGATGTTTTCAGCCTTGAGATCTTCCAGAAGTTTGTGGTATTCATTGATTTGCATCTTGATATCCTTGTCATCCGTCATCTCCCACCTATAGAAGTTGTCAATAACAAATTTTTGCTTCCCAGCATCCTTAGCAATGTGTTTTAGTTTCATTGAATCCCATATATCCTTGGCTTCTTTATAGGGGCAATAGATATCAAACAAGTCATTAGCTAAGGTGCTACTGATAGTATGCCTACATACCTTGTCAGCATGAGTCCAGATTTCCAAATGTTTTGGATCAGTAGACGATCCAGGTTTAGGATATGTGAGAGTAGCAGCTACACCGAACATGTCAAGGATCAAAAGAATGCGTTCTTGCCATCTTTTAAAATTTTGTCCTCCAAACATTTCAATTTTGGAGATATTAGGAAAAGGTTTGGCATATGAGACAGTGGCGACTACTGGAACAGCAGAGGCAACTGAATGGGACACTCCATAAAGGCTAGCAAAGGAGGAGTTGTTGCCAGAGGTTGTAGCTATAGGATTGTTAATAGAAGCGGCAGAAGAATTGCTGGCGGTAATAGCTGGAGAGTTGTTGTTGAGAGTAGACTCCATAATCCTTAAGATTATTGTAAAATAATTCAGAAAACAAGGTAAAATTAGAAAACCTGAGACCTGTTATAAACACCGTCCTTAAGGATTATTTCGCCACAATAAATATTTTAAGAATGCGAAAATCCCCTAAGATTTAACAGGTTCTTCTGAAATAATAATAATTTCAGGTACACAGAACAATAAGAGATTTTAATTAACCTAGAGAAGAAGTACAGAGGGGAAGACTGATAACTTATCTCATTGTGAAGAGCAAATAACTCTTTTATTATAACGTTTCAATAATGTTATGATTGAGTAAAGATAGGAGAAAGATAAGGCTCGTGAAGAAGTCAGGGATACTACTCTTTTTAGTATAACGTTATAATAACATTGTGATTGAGGAAAGATAGGAGAAAGATAAGGCTTATGAATTTTCCAAAGAAGTCAAGGATAATGCTAACTCTAATAGATAGTAAAACTCCTTGCTAAAGTTTAGGAATAATTGGTCAAATGGAATAAAAAATAATAACGGTCCTCAAAATCTTTTTGAAATATGAATAATAATTCAAAACTTTATTAGTTCCTTTCTCTTTCTTCTTAATCTTCTTTTTTTCTTTTCTTTTTTTTTTCTAAAAGTTTTGTATTTTGGAATACTGTTATTAATTATATTGTTTAAATGGAAAATTTAACATATATCTAAGAAATTACTAGAACTTAAATCAAATAAGACGTTTATGTTAGTTTTTACTTGGATATTATCAAATATCGATTAGGCTAAAATTTCTCTTCAACATGTATTAATACAAAATTATTGCAAGTAACGTATAGAATAGCAATCTTCTCCTAATTAGTTCAATCATCCTGAATTTTTAAGGATTTTTAATGTTTAGTTTTGTTTATATAATTTTTTTTTTTTTAATGTTATTTTAACTTCTATTAGTTACCAATAGAGAATTATGGCGGATAAACAGTGTGAGAGCCCGGCTTCTTATCTTAAGTTTCTCATTTTTTATGTTTTAAAATTGAGCGCCCCCCCCCCCCCCCCCCCCCCCCGCCGGCGAAAGTTGGGTCTAAGATCAATGGTGATAAGGGACTAATTATATACCAACATGTATATGTATAAAGCATACAGATATTATTTGAACTCTTTGCAAGCAATTTAAATCATTATAACAATCAAACTACAAGGTCATAGCGTCATGCTCCCGACTGGCTAAATTTTGCATTGGGTTGCCTTCAGTTTAACTGCAATTCCTGGAGCTGGTGTTGCCTCTTGTTGTAGGGTACTGCACGTGATGACGAGAGTAGAACATGACTGTAGGCTGATGACAAACCATTTAAAAATGTATTTGAGAAGATTCCACAGCATGCCATGCCAGGGAAATGAGATTATTATAACGAAGTATACAACCCAGAAGAGTGGTGGTGGTAACAAGATTGAAGCAAGCAAAGAGAAAGTCAAGCGAGCTGAGAAGTAGCCAGACCGAACCGTGATTGGATTTGGATGAGCAGTGAAACGAAGGTTGATAGCTATGGAGGTTAAGAGGAATAGAAATAACATGAAATTTGCAAGAAGCAAGAACAGGAGTTTCAAAATCAGGTATTCGTCATCGAACTCAAGCATAATCCAAGCATTGACATGGGATTTTAGCAATGCTAGGATGATGAGGTTCATCAGCGGTGGGAAGAGATACCTCAAGTCTACAAAGAACTGCATCTTGTGTGTGTAAATCTTATTATAGACTTTGAATGTGTTAGTAGGCAGCAAAGTTACTAATTTATATGAATAGGTAAGGATAAACCAAGAACAATGTATATCTTAATTATTTGTTTATCAATTAAGAATACATAAAAAAATTATTAGTGAGCTATCCATCCGACGTGAAAAGCCATGGATAGGAGTTTGAGAGCTCGAGAAGCCAAATGAAAGAATGAATAAAATTTTAAACAGGGTCCGTTGTGGGATTTGTGAATCTAATCCACGTCAAGATACCTGATTTACATATAATTATTAAAACAGAATTATCCAGGTCATACATAGCATTCTACGGTTTTATGCGAAATCTCCCTGAAGATTTGCGTCATAGCCAATAAATTTTGCTATCAACAATAGTTTATTTTATTTTAATAAATTCAAGGAAATTACATTTCATTTGCTTTATATTATCCAGTCACAAACCATCACTAACAGTTCAGACCAGAACCATTTTTAATTCTTCCCATTAACCGTATCATATTTTATAATATTTTTAGTCGTGAATCACTCTCAGGCGTCGATCGAAGTCATTAGAAATCAAGAAATCAACATCTTTTTCTTCTTCTTCTTCTATTTTTTCAGTTTTTTTGTTGTAAACCTGACTTAAAAACCTGGGGAATCCCTGGCTTTGGCCCCATGAGAAGTTGGAGCAATTCTTTTTTTTTTTAAATTTTTGTCTATTTTTTAGGATTTTGAATTTGGCAGAGTTTGTATAATTTTTTTTTATTTATTAAGTTCGGAGATTTTTTTTTCTTTTAAATGTCATGTAAAATAACAGGAACGCCTTTTTTATCGTTAACTTTAGTATCTAAAACCAAGAGAAAACATTTATTATGCTATAGAAAGAGATAAAAAATAATTCGCTCAAGATTAATTGATTTATCCAGCCTAGGACCATCAATAATTACGTTAAACTAAAATGGTTTTGATGCTACAATGAATTATTAGAAATATAAGTTAACAGATATTAAACAGCAATGAGAACTTATACCAAGATATAGTCTAGACTCATCTATATAATACTGAATATTTTACTTGGATAAATGATGTAAAGTAAAGGCATATTTTTAAATTTTAACTTATTAACTTATTTATAGCCCTAGGGGGTCTCTAAGGCCAAACTTGTAATATTACACAACTGAAATAGCCTAAAAGGTTAAAACTCTATCATATTAAACAACTGATTCTGATGCACATGGGCAAATACATCACAATCACAAAGAAACACATTAAAATCTTAAGTCTCTTAATCATTGGCTATCACAACAACAAGGTCTGGTTCCAAACCGGGCAGATTTTGAGGATGTGTTTGTGCTTCAGGATCAGACCAATTATGATCTTCTTGTTGCTGGGTGCAAGCGATGACAAAGGGGCTAAAGTGATGCCTTAGAATGAGAATAAACGAATTAAAATTGGACTTGAGCAGATTCCATAGCATCCCGTGGCAGGGAGACGTGATGATGATGATAAAATATGCAGCCAAGAAGAGTGGTGGTGGAAAAAAATTGAAGCAAGTAAAGTCAAACTCAAAGGACCAGAAAAATACCCAAATCGAACAGTAACGAAAGGGGAAGTCATGAGATGAAGTTCGATGGATGTCAAGATGAATACAACTAATAAGAAAATTGAAAGAACCAAGACGGTTGATTTGAAAATGGGGTATTGCTCAGATTGAAATATTGCATTGAATAGGGACAAAGGGGCACTGCCTTTAGATGTTGGCAGTAGAAGGAAGAGATTTATCGATGGTGGGAAGACAAATCTCAAATCTATGAAGAACTACATGTTTACTTGTGCAATATTATGGTTCGATTGGTGCTGCTATATAAGGTTGAGCCTTCGTTATAAAACATGATATACTCAGAAGCATACACTTAAAAAAAAAAAAAAAAAAAAATTGAAGTCTACGCAAAAGGCAGTGGGATTTATCAATATACCTAGTTTAAAAAAAAAATGAAGTCTACACGGAAGGCAGTTGGATTTGTCAATAATATGTACCGAGTTAATGTACCATGTCACAATCGCCGGTCAAACGACATATTTCCATTTTCATCATTGAGGTTTAGGATATTTTATCATTCAACCATAATATTGTGGGTTACTAACACTTACAGTCCTATCGGATGATAGTTGTTAGAGATCATGGACCATTGGGACTGACTTTTTTCAATGAAAAGTCTAAAATACCATATTGTCTTATTTAAGCATTTTATAAAAATTAATAAAATACTTTTTTAATTTCTATTTCTTTATTTATATCCATTGTTTCTTGCTTCTTCCCCTTCTATGATCTCACCTCAAATTCGTTAGTAGTAATGATATACCCAATTTTGTATCTTATGATTAATGTAGTATTGATAGATAAGTAGCTACATCATTTGAGATACAAAATTGATATCTTAACATAGTATGTATAACATTATTCATTATGTACAATTAATTATATATTCAGTTTATAGTTTTACAGGAAAAAAAAAACCATATAAATCATGGACAATATTTTTTAACGAATAAAAAGGTCGGAGTCGGAAAATTGTGTTTATGTCACATCAAGGTTGGAGTTGAAAAATGGCATTTTAAGGGGCTAAAGTGAAAGTTCAACGAACAAGGAGGTCCAAAATGTAGCTTTTGGGGCGTTAATTGATAGCTTATATATGATTTTTAAAAAGTTTTGTACCGTTTGAGGCTTCTGGAAAGAACCTTCCAAAAACTTCTAGAAAAAGCCTTCTAGAAACTTCTAGAAAAAAAACTTCCTGAAACTTTTGGAAGAACCACCATCAATGAAATTATTAACAAGGGTACAATTTTTTTAGACTTTTGTAATAGGAAGATAAAAATAACAAATCTTTCAAGTAAGGAATAATAAACACTATTTTAGAGTTATATTTAACTTTATCTAAACGTAAAGACATAATTGACGAAATTCAAATTACCTTTTTTACAAAATAGATAATATAAAAAAATTATCCAAATTAAAAATTAAAAACAATATATAAATTAAAAAATAATAATTCTTTTTATAAAATAAATTATATCTAAACTATCAAAATTAAAAATTTAAAACAACAAAATTTAAAAAACTAAAAAATAAATAAAAAAACCTATTATTATTTCCGTCTAATTTTTTAAATTTTAATTTATTAAATTTTCTTTCAGTTTTAAATTTTTTATTTTTTGTTTCCTTTAAAAAAAAATGGTTTTGATCCTTTTTTTTTTTTTTTTTTTTAAGTTTTAGAACTAAATTAACTTAAAAAGGAGAAAAAAA